CATTTCCCAATTTGGGTTTGCTTGTCCTGCAGGTTCACAGAAGATAGCAGGGCACCCTGGAACCCATGCCATGACAGGGTCAAGGACCCTGGAGACCCATGCTGCTACCAGTACCCATTGGGCAAATGGCAGGCTGCATATGGCAATGGGTGCCCAATGCCTCAGTGGACTGGGGAAATGAGGACCAGGCCACCTTGCCCTCTACCAGTGCCAGGGCGTACCAGGGCACCCCAGACACAGGTAGATAGGGCCAAGAAGATTGTGGAGAATGTTTTGGCACAGTCTTTGAAAGATGCTAGCAATGAAGCTTTGCTGAGTTGAGTGTCAGGTAGACAAACCAGCCTTTGCAACCACCAGTTCATGTCTAGATTGGCACCCTGCAGAATTGCCACCTCAGGAAGATGTGTGGCTTATATCTGACAGGAAGAGGGGGAAGATTGTCAGCAAGGCAGGGCAGATAATGCTGGAAGCCTCTTGGGTTTAAAACAGCAGGTCTTGAAGTTCTTTTGCCCAGCCTCTTCAAGCCTTTTGCCCAGCACAAGTTCCACTCAGGACAGTGACAAGGAAGATGAGCCAGGCTCATCACCCATGGATGAGTCATCACTTGATTCTTCCCAGCACATAGAATCTGACTTAGTAAGCAGCAGCTAGCAGGTAGATACAGCATGAATTTTCTTACCAAACCATGTTTCCTCCTAACCCTAGAGCCAGCTAGCCATTTGACAGCATATGTATACACCAGAACTAAGTACCATTCAATGAATTTGGTATGGCTTTCAAAAAGTTTACACTGATGGCATGAGGATGGCACTCAACACCATGATTCTCAAGATCTTCCTGATGCAGGAGCACCTGAGGAGGCAGATGAGGCCAGCTTTTGCACCATCTCTTGCTCACTGCTCAGCCCACCAGCTGTAGAAACATGGGCAAGAGTTATGTGTACCCAGCAGCCACACCCAAGGAGCCTGCTGGCCTTGCAGTTGCAGAGTGCCATGAGTCACAGAGTGAGGCAGGCACTTGCCCACTTCAGACTTCAGCAAGCCACCTGATGGTGGCAGCCACCCAGAGGAGGGAAAAACTCAGGAGGCAGGGCTTGACTAGCTTGAAGCCATTCATTTTTGTTTCAGAAAAGTGGTTCAGAACTTGGAGCCAGAAGTGGAAGCAGCCTTTCAAACCTACAGCATGGTCATTGCACATGTCTCCAATTCTCCAATGTGACTATATCAGCATGTGGGCCTTGGCCTGTGGCAGGCTCAATGCAACCATCATTGGCTGAAAAGGTGCCCAGGCCTGACAGTGAAAGCCAGTGCAGCCACCCAGCAATCAATGTTATGACAGCCTGAAAGCATTAATGGTCAGTCTTGTGGCATGTGTTAGGTTTTGCCACTCAGGCTTTGCTTTGCTCCTGGCAGGTTTGGCTCTAAAATAATGCCAGTGCCATTTTGGCAGTTTCACTTGAGCTGCACCATTTTGGGGGCAGCACTGATGGCAGCACCTGATGGCGACATTGGGCTGCAGCTGGTTTTAGACCAGCCAGGTGGCCATGATGATGGCCCCATCGCAGATGATGATCCTTGGGCCAAGTTCACTTTGCCATTTCCAGTAGGTACCATTGAAGATTTGGAGCAAAGATGCTATTTCAACGAAGAGGGCTTGCCAGAGTGGCTCTGCTCCAGAGCCCATGCATTTCTTCACATCAGCAGTGAGGGCTGGAGGTATCTGCATTTGAACCAAGCCAAGATCAAGCAACACTTTGTCAATTGCCAAATTGATGTGGGGGAGTTCAGGCACAGGCCCAAGGAGGGGTCTGAGCACATTTGCAAGTGGAAGGACCACACCTTCATGTCAAGGGGGCTGTTGGCAATGCTGCTTTTCATTCAAGCCTTTGTCACAACAGACAAAGAACATTAGCATGAAGCTGCTTTTTGATTTGGTCAGCAGGGCACACCAGTTCATGTGCCAGCACAGGTTTGGTGGCAATGAGTGCAAATTGGCTGGGATGGTGATCAGCAAGCACACAGGTGCAGTGATTACGGAGACTTTGTCATTCTCCCAGCAGTCTTTTTGCTCTGGCTGGGACAAGCTGCTGTCACACAGCCCAGGGGCCCAGAGGCTATGGACAAATTTGAGGAAGAGAGAGTCTGGTGTGGGTTTTGCATTTCCACAACACTGGGGCAGGCTTCCATCCAAGACCTGCTTTTGCTTTTTGCATTCACATGTGCCCATCCAACCTTGAAGTATGACAAGCAAACTATTTGGCTGGATGTTGGCAAGCTGATGCTTCCACCCTTCCTTCAGATGTGTGGCAGCTGGCTGGATTCCTGGGCCTACCATTTGTCCCAGCAAAAAGCTACAGAGCTCCCCTTGCTGATGAGCAAGGGAAGCAGGGTTGGCAGGGCCCTGGGCCCAGTCAACAGAATGATCATGCTGCACAGGCTCAGAAAAGAGAAGGTGGTCAGAAGAAGAGTCAGTTTGTCACATGAGGGCCTTGTCCCTTTGGCTGGGGTATGGTCAAGGTATGAATCATGCCTTGATGTGGCCCGTTTGCTGATCATCCACCACAGATTTCCATTTGCTGGACCCATCAAGCTATGGTGGGAAAAGCACCAATGTTTCAGTCTTTTGGTCAAACCACCTGAACAAAGGTGGGTTCTGTTTGAACCAACAAGTTGCAAGGGTGATGCAAGCAGATGTTGATGAGGATGTGCTCAAAGCTGCAAAGGACAACAAGTTGTCAAGGGTGGATGGATATCAAGAACTCAGGTGTTTTGCAAGTGCGCTGCTAAACTCTACAGGGCTGAGGCTGGAGAACTTCAAAGTCCCCCATGGGCTTTGCTTGTTGCCATTGGAGAAGGGCCAGGTCAGAGTCCAAGGCAAGGATTGCATTCCCTGTCCTCTACGCTCAAGAAACTTGAGTTATAAACTTCAGATGTAATCATCGCAACAAATTCAGATTAGACAAAATCTGAGGCAGAAAGAACTGTACAGATCAATTCAACAAACGAAAATAGAGCTCGAAGAAAATGATTAGGTTGTTTCTATATATTCTAAGAATAAGATTGAATACTAAAAATATGTTATCAAACACAGTTTTGGGTAACAAAAAACGATATTGGATAACAAAAAAAATGTTATCCAAAGTCTTGCTGGATAACAAAAAATGTATTTTTATTTTTATTTAACAGTATATATATATATATGTGTGTGTGTTTTATCGTTTTTTATTTTCAAATCAAAAATCCATGTTTTTTAATCCAGACTTCTTCTGGATAACATTTGTTTGTTATCAAAAACCTTTGTGGATAACATTTTTTTATTAAAAAAAAGATTTTTGACAACACAATTCATTCATTCGAATCCGTCGCCATTTTGAGATCCAATTTTCGACAGAGCTGGTAGATCCAACTTAGTCGATCTCATGGCTGAGGCGTTCGTTGCAAAGGTGTCTGAGATGCATGGCACTGAGCAAGATACATTGACTGAGACTCAGGATCCAATCCCCAATGGTGACGAATCCAAGGTTGAATCTTCGGATTCACCAAAGAAAGATGATGGTCCACAGGCTGAATCTGCTAACCACGAACCTCCTCAGGAAGAAACTGAAGTCAAAGAGAAAGCTCAGGATGATGAGCCTGTCTTCGTCATCTGTCACAAGTGTGATATTTCCAAGGAGATCGAAGACTGCTTGCGCAAAGGTAAGAAGTGGTTGTGCTCTGCTTGCAACACAGCTACTGCTGCCTTGGGCCGAGCTTTGGAAGGTGGACTTCGAGCCGAGGGGTTCAGGTCCCTGTCTGCTGAAGAGCAGACGCAGTTCTGGCAGCAGGCAGCCGGAGCGTCTCAGAAAAGTTCGTTCACCCTGTACAACTCCAAGTTGAAGGCTGTGGCCACGCAGCATACAACTCAGGGTTCGAAGGGTTGCTTTCAGCCCTTGAGCTGGTACGAGATGCAAGGATACGATGCCAAAGCGATTCGTTTGAAGACCCCAGCTGAAGATCGTAAGACGCATCCAATTCTGGGTGAAGTCTTTCGTATTTCTTTGGAGTACACGGATGATTCGCATACTAAAGCTCTCAGTGAAGAGCGCGAGGCATCAGGCTCAGTGGAACATGGTGTCGCCATGTGCACTGCTGCAAGCAAGGCTGCTGCCAAGCCGCCTGCTGATAAGAAGTTGACGCCAGCCCAGAAAGCCAAGTTTGAAGCCAAGTTGGAAAAGAGCAATGGCAAGCTGTGCAGCGCGGCAACCAAAGTGCTGGCAGCCTTGCAGCCATGCATGATCCAGTATCGCGAGATCATGGCTGAGGCAGAGAATAAGCACGAAGCTGGTTGGAATGCTGCCAAGGACATGTGGAAGGAACTGAACGAAGCACACAGTGTGAGACTATCGCAAAGTACAATCGCAACAGCAAGCAAGTGCTGCTGAACTCCAGCCACTTGGATGACAAATCGGTCAAGGTGAAAGTGAAGAACTTTCAGGCTATGGTGAAGCAGATGCGCCCCAACAAGCGCAAGGCCACCAGCTAAGTCCAACTCTCGAAGAGAATGAGCGGATCCTTTTGGGATATCTATGGTCAGATCCAAATCACCAGGAGGTGCGTATATCTGATTCTGGAATCCGAGATCCCAGTTTTGCAGATGCTGCGACCCGGGCACGTGAGCAAAGGTTTAAAAGAAAAAGATGTATAATTATATATATATATATAATTACTTTGTATATATTATACCTAGAAACTCGATTGCGGCACTTTCCTCAAAAAGGATCCTCCAGCCGTACTGCGGCGTAATTTTCACCCTGAGGCATTTTGAAGTTTTGCCTGCGGCTTTTTTTGTGACACCCACATGTGATAGACAAGCACTTTCTTTCACCAGGATTCAGGACCACACATGTTCTAACATCCCACGGCCCAGAGACATTGGTTCATTTTTCCCGGGCCACTGCTTGTGCTGGTGCAGCACACCTTTGGGAGAGGTGCGAACCTCCTTTGCCCTGCGTTTGTGGCAGTTCCTGCCACCACTTTGCAAATTCAGTGTTTGGTTTTGTAAGCGAGCAGTCCCACAAGCATTTGCTGGCTCTAGCATACCAAGCTACTGGGGTTGGGTAATGGGGTTGCTGTAAATATACATGGGCGAAGCTGATGGAGCACGCTTGGTCAAGATCTTGCAAGCTGAAGGTGGGGCTTACTGGCAGAGTGTAGCGCATGGTAAAACATGCGAAAAGAGATTGAACATTTTCTTGGGTTCCCATACTTTAGTCTTCACGTTTGTTGGCAGGCTTGGACAATCTCCCCGGAAAATTTTGGCATGAAGCTCAGCTGGTGTTGTGGCCCAGCGATGAGCCACAAGAAACTGGCCAGCAAATGGAAAATGGGAGATTCGCCGCGCTTGGCCCCCTACATTTTTGCAAAGTCATTTTTTTCTGAGGTTTCCGAGGACCTGACCCTTTTGAACATGGAGCGTGTGACTGCCCTCGTTTCCAACTACAAGGAAAAGGGTTTTGTTTACCAGCTGGCTACGTACCTACGTGAATGGCAGCAAGAGGGTGCCTGGGATTCCAATGATTTTGGGTACCGGCACTTGTGATTCCACCTGCATCTTCGTTTCTTGTTGGGGCATGACTTCCTTCGACACTGCAAGGTCAGCAGGATCCTTTCGCCCCAGCTTCACTCAGCACCACTGAAAAGCCTGACAGCAAGATGCTGAGCGCACCGTCCAAACAGTAGGACTCTTTCAAGCGTTCTTTCGACATCCGGGTGAGTTGAAATCCTACAGATTTGACAGCAGATGAATGTGAGAGGGTTTCAAAGCAAACCATCAACTACAAGAATCATTCCTACATCACACGCCACGTACTTTTTGGCCTACCTCATTGGATGTACAAGGCAAATCCTGACATTGAGGAAAAACACATTCAGCTAATGGTGGATGATCTGAACTTCTTCAACACTACTGGGGTTGAAGTGAATGGTGTTCGCTGGTACGCATGCGTCGTTGGATCCAAAGGTGATTTCAAGCACCAGGCGCTTGTGGGAAACCTGGACCGGAGCTACCACACAATAGGTCGCACGTACGGAAATCTGATGTGCAGCATTTGTATAGCAGGGGCTCCCGGCTATCCAATGGAACAAATTGACCATGAGCCCTTGTGGGCAAGAACTTTGCATGGTAGCAGGCCCCGGTCCACAACACCAACCATATCGCTTTTGAATTATGATGACTTGAAACTTGAAACCTGAACATCTCCCAAAACTGGACCTTTTCCATTTATGGAAAGTTGGACTGGGACGAGACTTGGCAGGCTCTGGAGTGGTATTTTTTTCTCGCATGGGCTTATTTGACCACCCCGGCTGTTCGAAAAACATAGATGACCGGCTGTGCTATGCGCATGGCTCATTCCGTCTTTGGGCACTGGCCCATGGAAAATCGCCAGGACTACAATCTTTTTCAAAGGCTTTTTTCTCGATGAAAAGCTATGCAGATAGCCCCTGGAGCAACAGCAAAGGTTCTGATACAACTATGCTGAATCAGTGGTTACACTGGGTGGCCTCATTGCATTTAGTGTCGCCTACTGCTGAATCTCAACCCTATGAACGGTTGCTCCGCTTATTCAAGCACACAGCTGAACAATCTTTCGCATTTCTTGGTAACATCAAAAAAACACACGAGACACGTGTATGTATATATATAATATATATATATATATATATTCGAACTTAGATACAAATTGCATTTATATACAGATCTTTGGGAAAAAGTTCAAACTATCAATACATATGCATGTATGCATGCATGTATGTATGTATGGATGTATGGATGTATGTAAAGAAAAATCACAAATAAACAGAGTTTTGAAGGAAGTATGTACACAACTTGGGATGCTTCGCTGCAAGATTTATGTGGTCATCTTCCTTGGGGAACCTAACACTTAGAACCTCTGCTTCTTGGATGTGAATTCTGGAAAACATCCAAATAACACACGACACACACACACACACATGTATGTATATATATATATATATGAGTCCGGACTCCGGATCCCTGGCCCCCCCCCCCTCCAATGGTATGGTCCCCCAAGCTCACGCTCTCGGGAACACGGGACACGGGACCATATATACATACATACATACATACATACATACATACATACAGTCATGCATGCATGCATGCATGCATCCATCCATCCACCCATACATACATGCATACGTACGTACGCACATACATACATACATACGTACGTACATACATACATACATACATACGTACATACACACAGATATACATACCTATCTACCTACCTACCTACATACCTACATACCTACATACCTGCATACCTACGTACCTACGTACCTACGTACACACGTACATACATACATACATACATACCTACATACATACATACCTACATACATACATACATACATACCTACATACATACATACCTACATACATACCAACATACGTACCAACATACATACCAACATACATACCAACATACCAACGTACCAACATACCAACATACCAACATACCACCACCACAGGCCACAGGGGGGTGGGGACCATGTGTGGGAGGGGGGTTTGGGCGTCCTGGGTCATATATGTATATATAAGTATTATTGTATGTATAGGTATATGTATATATATATATATACAAGTATTGTATATACACATATCTTTGGAAAAATCAAACTATCAATAAATGCGCACGTTTGTGTGGATGCATGCATGTACGTATGTATGGATATATGGGTTGAAAAAAGACAAAAAACAGAGTTTTGAAGGAACTATGTACACAATTTGGGATGCTTCGCTCCAAGATTTATGTGGTTGTATTCCTTGGGGAACCTAACACTTTGAACCTCTGCTTTTTGAATATGAATTTTAAAAACATCAAAAAAACACACGATACACACATGCATGTATATATTAAAACATATTTTGTGCATATAAAAATTTATATAGATGCATATCTTTGGGAAAAATGAAACTATCAATACATGTGCGTGTATGCATGTATGTATGCACTAAGGATGTATGTATGGAAATAGACCGAGTTTTGAATGAAATATGTACACAACTTGGGATGCTTCGATGCAAGATTTATGTGGTCGTATTCCTTGGAGAACCTAACACTTAGAACCTCTGCTTCCGGAATATGAACTCTAGAAAACAGCAAAATAACATTAATATATTTATATATATACATGTATTTACATCTACATATCTTTGGAAAAATCAAACTATCAATAAATGTGCATGTATGCATGCATGCATGTATCTATGTATGGATGTATGTATGGAAAACAAATAAACAGGGTATTGAGTAAAATATGTACACAACTTGGGATGCTTCGCTGCAAGATTTATGAGGTCGTATTCCTTGGGGAACCTAACACTTAGAACCTCTCCTTCTTGAATGTGAGTTCTGAACAAACATCAAAATAACACACGACACACACATGTATGTGTATATATATATATATTGCATATCTTGGAGAAAAAGTTCGAACTATCAATACATGTGCATGCATGCATGCATGTATGTATGGATGTATGTAAAGAAAAAATCACAAATAAACAGAGTTTTGAATGTAATATGTACACAACTTGGGATGCTTCGCTGCAAGGTTTATGTGGTCGTATTCCTTGGGGAACCTAACGCTTAGAACCTCTGCTTCTGGAATATGAACTCTAGGAAACATTGAAATATCACACGACACACACATGTATGTATTTATATATATATATTTCTTTGGTATTTATACATATGTTTGGAAAAAAACTCAAACCATCAATAAATGTGCATGTGTGCATGCATGCATATATGTATGTATGGATGTATGGAACAATCACAAATCACAACTAAACAGAGTTTTGAATGAAATATGTGCACAACTTGGGATGCTTCGCCGCAAGATTTATGTGGTCGTATTCCTTGGGGAACCCAGCACTTAGAACCTTTGTTTCTTGAAAAAGAATTTTAGAAAACATTAAAAAACACACCACACACACATGTATGTATACATATATATATAATCTATGTTTATATATATATACATATCTTCGGAAAAATCAAACTATCAATAAATGTGTAATGTGTATATTTGTATATACATATATATAAGTGTGTGCGTGGATGCATGTATGTACGTATGCATGGATATATGGATTGACAAATCACAAAAAAAAAACAGAGTTTTGAAGGAAATATGTACACAACTTGGGATGCTTCGCTCCAAGATTTATGAGGCCGTATTCCTTGGGGAACCTAACACTTAGAACCTCTGCTTCTTGAATATGTTTTCTAGAAAACATCAAAAAAACACACGATACACACATGCATGTATATATTAAAACATATTTTGTGCATATAAAAAATGATATATATATATATGCATATCTTTGGGAAAATTGAAACTATAATACATGTGCGTGTATGCATGTATGTATGCAGTAAGGATGTACGTATGGAAATAGACCGAGTTTTGAATGAAATATGTACACAACTTGGGATGCTTCGATGCAAGATTTATGTGGTCGTATTCCTTGGAGAACCTAACACTTAGAACCTCTGCTTCCGGAATATGAACTCTAGAAAACAGCAAAATAACATTAATATATTTATATAAATACATGTATTTACATCTACATATCCTTGGAAAAATCAAACTATCAATAAATGTTCATGTATGCATGCATGCATGCATGTATGTATGTATGTATGTATGGATGTATGTATGAAACACAAATAAACAGGGTATTGAGTGAAATATGTACACAACTTGGGATGCTTCGCTGCAAGATTTATGAGGTCGTATTCCTTGGGGAACCTAACACTTAGAACCTCTGCTTCTTGAATGTGAGTTCCGGAAAACATCAACATAACACACGGCACACACACATGTATGTGTATATTTTTTCATATCTTTGAGAAAAAGTTTAAACTATCAATACGTGTGCATGCATGCATGCATGTATGGATGTATGTATGTAAAGAAAAATCACAAATAAACAGAGTTTTGAATGAAATATGTACACAACTTGGGATGCTTCGCTGCAAGGTTTATGTGGTCGTATTCCTTGGTGAAGCTAACACTTAGAACCTCTGCTTCCGGAATATGAATTCAAGAAAACATGAAAAAAAACAAACGACACAGACACGTATGTATACATATATATATATATTCTATTTATATACATATCTTTGGAAAAATCAAACTATCAATAAATGTGCATGTATGCATGCATGCATGTATGTATGCATGGATGTATGTATGGAAAACCAATAAACAGGGTATTGGGTGAGATATGTACACAACTTGGGATGCTTCGCTGCAAGATTTATGAGGCCGTATTCCTTGGGGAACCTAACACTTAGAACCTCTGCTTCTTGAATATGTTTTCTAGAAAGCATCAAAAAAACACACGACACACACACACATGTATGTATATATGGTCCCGTCCTCCGTCTCTCCACCCCCCCCCCCCATGGGTTGGGTCCCCAGGTAGTAGCCCCAATTCCCTTCTATTTGCAAGCTATTGGCAGCATTTCTGAGGTCCAGCGTCGTATTTGCTAGGTCTTTGCAGCATTTCTGACTACCAGCCTCGCATTTACTAGGTACATGCTACCTTTTAGGCGACCTACGTAGCACACATACTCCTTCAAAGTACCTACGTGCTACCTATAGTCATACATACATGTGCTATGTATCTACTGTATCTACTTCCTGTTTACTACCTCTGTACTCTGACAACACTACCTCTGTTGAACATATACCGTACCTACCATACATGTCAATGATGCCATGCATACCATACCTATCATATC